TGGCGCCTGTGGCTCAAGCGGCCGAGGTGCCAGCCACATACACCTAAGGTGGCGGGTTCGAATCCAGCCCGGGCCCGCCAAACAACAATGATGGCAAAAAAAAAAAAATAGCCGGGCGTTGTGGCAGGCACCTGTGGTCCCAGCTACTTGGGAGGCAGAGGCAGGAGACTCACTTGAGCCCAGGAGTTAAAGATTGCTGTGAGCTGTGATGCCACAGCACTCTACCTGGGGGGCAGCTTGAGGCTCTGTCTCAAAGTAGCTGAAATCGCACAGGCGGAATAGAAGTCAGACTTCACAGTTGAGATTTCTGTATATTCTGTTCCAATTGACTGGAATGTTCCTCCACTCTACTCCTGGGCTTCTCCTGATGCGTCCTTCAAAATTGAGGGACACGTGAAAGCTGTCCAGATACATGGCTGGGCCTTCACCAGTGATTTGCCTCTGAATGTGATAGTGGAAATGGACTGAAAGCCTGAAACTGTGTGAGGAGTGCTGTCTACCAGAAACAAACATGTTATGCCCTAAATTTATTTTATTCTCTAAATTTCAACCCTTTGACTTCTAAGAACATCTGATTCAGATAATCTCATGTTATTCTTTGTATTGAGCAAAAATTGAGAAGTGCCCAATATTTGCCAATGAGAAAAAGAAATCTTCGTATACTTCCACCTTTAATAAAGTTGAAGAGATACCAAAAAAAATTAATGAAGATGTAAATGAATGAATTCTCTGCTAATGACTTCATCTACCTCCACTCCCACCACTCTGCACAGGTCAGGGAGGGGACACCCATTTGGGGAAGATCCCGGGCAGGGAGCACTTACCGTTCAGACAAGGAGGCCACCCCGGCCAGGAAGGTGTGGCGGTCGGTTTCGGCCAGCCGCTCCTGCAGGATCTGCGTCCCCTCCTGCACCTTGCGCAGCTGCTGGCTGTAGCGCTGGACTTTCTGCTCGATGTCCGTCAGTGTGCGGGCTGTGTCTGCCTCTAGCTCCTCCAGCATAGCCTTCTGCCTCTCGCGCAGCAGCCGGTGCAGGCGCTCGAAGGCCTCGCCGATGGTGGTCCGCAGGCTCTTGGTGGAAGACTGGGGGGGGGGACAGTCATCAGGGGTTATGGTGGGGTTGAGAAGGGGGAAGGCACTGATGGGGTGCTCCGTGGGTGAGAGGAAAAAACTGAGAGCCTTGATGGGCAAAAAGGGAAGAGCAGGAAAGGGCAGCTTGGTGGCATGTGCAAAGGTATGAGGGTCTGGAAGGATTGGCATGGCTAGGGATAGCAAACAGCTCTATGAGGCCCCTTAGAAGGCTGACAAAATGGTCCAGGTGAGAACGATGAGGCTTGAACTAAGAGTGCAGCAGTGATGGTGAGAGAGATAGTTTGAAAGACATCTATGGGCAGCCTCTTTGGCTCTGGCTGTGGATTGGCTGCAGGAGAGAAAGGAGCTGAGGATAACGGCCAGATTTTTGGCATGGGGGTAGGAGAGATAGGGGAGCTGGGGAGAGAGGTAGGGGCAGGGATAAAATACTGAGTTCAGTCTGGAATGTAGTGATGTCTTTCTTTTAAAAAAATCACTCATGGGGCTCCAGGGAGAATGACAAGATCACAGATGTCAGGAGCTTTAAAACGTGCAACACGCTGGGGAAATGGTGGTGGTCATTCACCCTGTCCTGTCAGCCCTAAGGCTCTCTGGCTAAGGAATATGGTCTTAGGGCCATGATGGAAGAGGTAAGTGTGGACTTGCGTGATTCTTTCTGTCCCCAGAGGCACTGTGAGGCCAGGAAGGGGTGAAGTGCTGAAGGGCACAGGTTCTGTGCCTCTCAGCTGGGGCAATGGTCCTAGCTCTGGGTTTCTAGCTGTAGAAGCCTCAGTTGCCTAAGGTGTATGAATTTTAGTTTTCTTATCTGTGAAAGGGGTAACAAAAATGACATTGCAGGGTTGTGGTGAAGATGAAATAGGGGATGTTCACAAAATGTGAGACACAGTCCAAGGGGCAGAGAAAGGGCCTGCTTATTGAAAAGTTCAATTCTAATGGCGTGTCCTAGAAGTTTTCATTGAGAGATGGTTTCTGAGCGGGCGGCCGAGGGATGGATTGGCAGGACGTCAGCTGGGGCTGGTGAAGCAGGCAAAGGGAACAATGTGAGTAGAGTCAGGATGACATTGGGTACAGAAGTGTGGCCAGGCTGCAGCAGCATGTGGGGCCTGCCTCTGCAATTTGACTTTGTGGGATTCTGGCTGGGAGTTCATGGAGTCAGAAACCCCACTGTGTTCAGTGCCCAGGGCTCTGTGGGAGGCTTGACAAAGGCTCAATTAGGGCCTGTTCCCTCCTCACACGGCTGCTGGCCTGCAGGAAGAACTGCTGGCGGAGAGCCAGCCTCCCAGCGCATGCCCACCCAGGACGCCAGGCAGACAAAGAGGGGGCGGAGGGGAGGCTGCAGTGGCCTCCCCAGCTCTCACACGGGAAGGGCTGAGGCTCCAGAATGACCCATTGCTGATGGGGAAGATGGGTCTGTCCTCCCCATGCCACTTACACTGCCCTCCAAAGGCCTCCAGGCCACACAGCCACCACTCTGGTTCCTTCCAGGCCACTATGCTGCAGCATGGCCACTGGCCGCCCTCTACTAACTGGAAGTTCTGCTTTGCCTCCCATCTCTGCGGCTACTGCCTCTCTCCCACCTATGTCCCTCTTGGCTCATCCAGGCCAGATCCTCCCACTCTCACCCTTCACGCTTCCCCCATCTTCAACTCCCACTGTTGTGAGGATGGCTGCCAAGTCTGTACAGACGCCTTGGATGTCTCTGGAGTGCCACGCCCATTTCCCAGCTGTCTCCCCAACATGTCATCATGGTCCTCGAAGGTCCCTTCAACTCACTTGGTCCACAAATCAACTCCTGCCTTTGCCAACAAATTCACCGCCAGAGTGATCTTCCAAAGTGCAGGCTGGGTTACAGCCAATTCCATGTTTAGGAACCTTCTTCAGCTCCTTGATGACTATAAAATGATAAGTCCTTAGCCTGGCATTCAAGGCTCTTTTCAACATGATTCTAGTTTAGCTCCCTAGTGCCAATGCATTGCAATTCCACCTGCCTAGAATGACCCTTCACCCAAACCCTTTATTCACCTGGTAAATTCTCACTCATCTTGCAAGACCCAGCATGAAAGCTACCTTCTCTAATTTTGGGGAGGAGTCAGATATTCCTAGAGCCTTTTGCAAATACTCTTAATACAGTATCCCACATTTTATGTCTCACTGGCTAGTGAGTGGGAATGATATCTTCCTTAGCCAGGCAATTCCATGCCTGTCCCAGGGCCTAGCACAAGACTAGCAGCCAGGAGCTTCTTGATGGACAAGGGAGGGAGGGAGGGAGGGGAAGGGTCCTGCCCAAGATTGCACCAGAGAGCTGAGCGCAAGCTCCATCTTCTTTTCAGGCTGGATGTTTAGTGTATCTAGGATGAGAGATGATGAGTAGGGAAAGAGGCTGAGGCAGGAGAGGGCAGCTCAGAAATGGAACATCAGAGTGACAGCCACCCTAGGAGCCTCAAGCATGCCTTGAATGTGTTCTGATGACCTACCGGGCCTGCTGACCACAAAGCCATAGCTCTTGATGGGAACATCGGGGGGACACCCTGGTACAAGACTGATGGAACTGGATAGTAAGCTCCCAATATGCCACTTACTAGCTGTGGAGCTTCAGGCTGGCTCTTCGACCTCTCTGTGTCTCAGTTTCCGTGCTGATAAAATTGGGATAATAAGAGTTCCTTTTCAAAATTATTTTTTTCCTTTTCACTGTTTTGTTCTACAAACACTTATTGTGTGCCAGACACTGTGCTAGGTTTTAGGGAGTCCTATTGTTGCAGAGGTGACATTCTGCGGCGTTCAGTAAGACAATGATGGGAAAACACAACCCTCAGTGTGGAGAAAATTCTGTTCAACTGCCCTGCACTATTTACTCTAGTTCTTTCTAGGGAAAACCCCCTCTCCGTGAAGCAGCCCCCACCCCAGCCCACCACATCCCTTAGAACACCCTGGGGCCTGGAGAAGCTGGGGCCCTTTCAGAAAAATACCCTGCCAAGAATGTGTCACTAGGGCGAACCAAGAAAAACACAGGGCCATCAGAGGGAGATCAGAAAGGCCCTCAGGCCGGGCCATTGGAGGGGCAGGCGCCTTAAGAAAATGGAGTCAGGCACCAGGTGAAATACGACCTCCAAAGCATCCATAGGCATTTCTTGTATAAACATCCCAGTCCAGACAGGAAGCAGGGCTGAGGGAACTGGAGGAGGAGGTGGCCCCATAGGACCCCCCAGAGGCAGACAGATGGACAGGAAAGCGGGGGAGGAAGAGGTCAGTGGAGAAAAACAATGGGGGGTGGAGAGAGAAGAGAATGCTTCTGGGGAGAAGAAACAGACCCCAATATTCCAATTCCCCTCACCCAGATAGAAGCTTCCATTTGCTTCTCATCACCTGAGAGGTACAGAATCACCAGACAGATGGGGAAATTGAGGCTGTGGGAAGCAATTAAGCCAGAGTCCTGTGGCTGTTTCTTATCTGCCACCCACTGAGGGTCCTACCCAGAGGCACTCTGGAATGTTCTGTGAAGAAATGTTTGTCATGACCTTCCTGAGACCCCACAGCAGGTTGGTGGCCAAGCTGGGGCACAGATTTGGATTTCCAATGGCCTCTCTAGGCCCCAGGATGACCTCTGGGTGCCCTGAGCATTCCTGAAGCTCTACTCCAGCTCCTGCTAATAGAGTGAGCCAGCTCGGTGTCACCCTGGACTTCAGGGTCCACAGAGCTGCAGCTGAGGACTCTGTCACACTCCCACCAACCCTGAAGTCTCCACTGTACAGATGGGAAGACAAGGGCCCGGAAAGTATGCAATTCATCTGAAGTCACACAGTGAGTTAGTAACAGGATCAGAAACCACATCCTTCCTCTCAATACAAGGAAAATCCCCACAAACCATTGTATACAGCCTGCAGGGTCTGCTAGGAACTGGGCCTAAGATGAGATGATACCAAGGCTGGGCCACAAACTATCAGAAGGGCTTCCCGGAAGGCTCAGGGTTGGCTCCTCCCGCAAGGGGCGTTTTAAATTAGGGGAGAGGAAAAAGAGACTGGGTACATTCTCCCAGCCCTTCAAGACGCCAGGGGTTGCTGGAGAGGCCCTGGTCCCAGCCGAACTGACACCCAAAGTGGAAAGGAAGAAGTAGTCCCATCCTGAATCTAGGTAACAACCCAAACCTTTGCCCTCAGTCCGGTGAAGGTGGATCCTGCCCACTTAACCTACATGGAAGACCCACCCTCGGTCCCTCGAAGACCCCCCTTCTTCCAGACTGTCCCCGCCCCACCCCTGTGGGTCCGCACCGGCACTGCACCAGCCTCACCTTGGTCTCGGCCAGCTGTCGCTTGAGCAGCTGTAGCGCCTCCGTGTGCTCCCGCTCGCTGTCCTGAAGGCCCTGAAGCTGCTCCTTCAGCTCCCTCTGAAACATACACAGGGTGGTGATGGGGGTGCAGGCTGCAGCTGGCTTCGGCATCTCATGGTAATGAAGAGTCCAGCCTTGACCACTGCGGGGTGCAGGAGTGTCCTGACTCTGTCCTCTTACCTCCCCCCCTTCCCCAACACTTGCCACCTGTCACAGTTGTACCACCACCGAGTCCCATAGGGTCTATCTCCTAAGTACCTGCAGGATACATCCCCATCTTTCATCCAATGTTTGCAACAGCCTCCTCTCTGGCCATCCCAGAAGCCTCTGGTCTCCCTGCACATTAACTGCCCCCTGCCCCCCATACCTCCTTCACTTGGCCTCTGGCTCCCTGCTTAGAATCCTCTGATGAGAACCAAGGGTGGACCACAGACCACCACTGCAGATTAACTGCCTACATTCTCTGAGTGTTTATGGGGGCTAAATGCTGCTCTGGGTCCTCTGCTTGTATTAATTCATTTGAGCCTCTTATTAACCCTAAGGTAGGCACTATTATTATTCCCATTTTCCTGATGGTGAAAAGGGTACAAGGAGATCAAAAAACTGGCCCAAAGCATACAGCTATGCATGTAAGGGTAAGGCCAGAATTGGAACTCAGGCAGCCTAGTTCTGGGGACCTTGAGCATGATGCCAGGTGATATGTTTTCTACAACCATGACGTCCGTGGTGAACCATGAAGTCCGTGGTGAACCATGAATTTACTGTAGACAAGATAACATTTTAAATAAAAGCAGGATCAGTATTACTGATTTTTTTTTTCTTTGCCTCGGGTTCCAGTATGGTTCACAGGACATTGCTATTGACCTTGTCCTTGTTTAAAATGTTAATATTTTATTCATTGTGAATGTTTTGCTTTTATTTTGATTTAAGAAATATTGCATCAAATACTCTCAATTACTGAATTTTGGGGGGCACTTGCTTCAATATTGGGCCTCCCTTATCTTGTCCTAGGCCCACCTCTGTCTCCTGCATCCTCCCCTCTCACTCCCACCAGCCGGCGTGACCTTCTCCCTGTCCATCCACCACACTGAGCTTCTTCCAGCCTTAAGATTTTGCACTTGTGATCTCCTCGGGCTGGTACCCTCCACTCTCAAGAGTTTTCTCACAGTGGCTCCTTTGTATCACTAGCTGATCAGCTCAGATGCCATCTCACCAAAGAGTCTTGCCTGAGCCCCCCAGATACAGTGGCACCTCTTGACACCTTCTGTCACACACATTGATTCAGGGTCTTCATAGCACCTTGTGCTGTCTGAAATGACCTGAGCTGTTTATCTGACTGTGATTGTTGCTTCTCACTTGCACTAGAATGTGAGTTTCCTGAGAGCAGGAATCCTGTCTGGCTTATTCCCAGCTACATCCCCAGAGCCTAGAACAGTGTCTAGCATCAGCAGAGCCTCGGTAATTATTTGTCAGATAATAAATAGGATGTGGAGGTGGGGGCTCCCAACACAGGGCCCAGCTGTCTGTACTTACAGGGAATCTAACCCACCGTATCATAGCTAGTTGTTCTCCTGTCTGGCCCCCTCTTTCCCCATATTAACCTATAAGTCCTCCAGCACAGTTGTCACTGCTCCCTTTCTGTGCCCCACACCCAGCCTGGCACTGACATAGGGCTCAAGGAAGCAGGAAGCCTGCCATGTGAATTAATTTCCTGGAAAGAGCCTCTGAGTTCTCCAGTCAGCCTGGGCTGTGAGTGGTGCCTGGAAGACTGACTTATCCATTCACATTCAGCTCCCTCCCACTCATTCGGCATGTCAGAGCAGGGAAGATCCTCAGAAAATGTCTAAGTTCAACTAATTTTACAGACCAGGTAGCAACATGGGCAAATGGTCATGATAACATGCTAAGGGAAGAATGCCTAAAACAAAATGATCTTTGTTTACTATTGCTTATTCATTCAGCAGATGTTTATTGAGAAACTACTATGTATGGGCCCTGGTGACATACTGGGGGATACTGCAGAGAGCAAGATGTCCAGACACACAGATGGCCTAGTCTAGTCCAGTGGGGGAAACAGACAACAAGGAAAATAATAACAGTGTGAGATGATTGCCAATATGGTTTGTGCTCTAGAGAAAATAAAGCATCCTATTTTCTATTCTGTGGGATGTGGAAGTGAGGGTGGGGCTTTAAGTAGGGTGGTCAAGGAAGGCTTCTCTTAGGAGGTAACACCAGAGATGACAGTGGAAGGATGAAGAATAGCCAGCTATGAAAAACAAGGGAAGATAGAAAAATGGGAGCAGCTTGTTCTGCGAGAGTAGAGAGCTTGCAGACACAATGGGTGGAACTCCGGCAGCCATCTCGGGCCATGAAGCAACTGTAAAGACAGATGACACAAGCTGGAATGAGAAGAGTAGAAGGAAGAGGAAGGGGAAACTGGGTCCCTGATGCCTGGGGCTGCCACACCATCATTAGACTCAGTAATATGATAGGAAGATGGCTCTCTAGGGGGGAAAAAAAAAGCCATGGCAGTGTCAGTTGCCAATTGCCAAGGTGTAAATGCTCCTTCCAAAGTGGGTTTCAAGCTATCATTGTGAGGTCACTGGATACAAAGTTGAGAAGAAATGTGCACAATACTCTGAGCTGGTGCAGCTGCGTCTAGCACACCAAGTCATTTCCTATAGACTTGCTTTACAAGAGAGAGAAATACACCCCCATCTAATTTCAGCTACTTTCACCAGGTCTCTATTACCAGAAGATGAAAGTCATCCCTAACGGATCCACGTGTAGCTGGGTCCTTGGAGCAGATGAATCTTTGCCTAGGAGTGCAGAAAGATCAGTCCTCAGGTCCTCCCAATGGCCTTGGGACTATGCACTTGGGACATGGTGTGGCTGAGATGCAGTTGTTTGAGGAGATGGGAGAGTGCTATAATTCTCCCCCTTGGTGGTCCCTGTGGGTCTGCATAGGACCTAGCCACCCAGGCAGCTCTTCTGTATTTCTGAGAAATCACCCTGCAAGGAGCATTCCTTACATTGCTCGGTGTGATTGGAGGGACTTGGACAAATTCCTCTCTGATTGTGGAGCCAGGGAACAAGAAGAGTTGGCTTGGTCACGGGGTCCAATGGAATACTCATTGGCCCATTAGACAAACATGTGCTGAGGCCTCTGTGGGCCTCATGGAACATAGTGTCAGGGATGGGGACAGGGATAAGGGACAAGTTCCAACCCATAATACCAATGCGCATGAGCTGGGGAGACAGACACAGACACTTACATCACTTAGTGATGAACATTGGGACAGTGTTAGGGGGCCCCAAACTTGCTCCTCCTCCTATGTTTCCCATCTCGGTGAAGCATACCCCCAGTCTCCCCACTGCCATCCGAGCCAGAAACCTGGGAGTCAACCTTGATGCCTCCTGCCCTCAAACCAATCCAATCAGTCATCAGGTCTGTTCTGGAATTTGTTCTCTCCTCTCTATATCCACTGCCCCTGGGTCATCACTTCTTCTCTGGACTGTGGCCCATAGGCTCCCTGCTGCCCTTGTACTCTTCCACTGCTCCAAGCACCCTATAAGGCAGCTGCAGTGATCGTTCTAAAGAGCACACTTGCAAAGGCTCCCCACCTTTCTTAGCTGCAGGATTTCCATGTTGTCTAGGAAGAAAAGCACAGAATCTTAGGGTGGCATTCTCGGCTCTTTATCACTAGCCCCAAACTCCTCTACTCTTATCTCTTGGTCCAGACTTGTGCTGTCTAATATGGTAGCCACTAGCTACATATGGATATTTAAGTTACAATTAATTAAAATGAAATAAAATTGAAAATTCAGCTCCTTTATTGCACTGGCCGCATTTCACGTGCTCAGTAGCCACATGTGACTAATGGCTACTGTATGTATCAGACGTGCAGCTGCAGAACTCTGCCTCACCCCAGAGACTTCCAGTGGACAGCACTAATCTAGTCATGCTAAGCGTCATGCAGCACCCTCCTCCAGGCCTTTGCATGTGCTGTGCCCTCTGTCTGGAACGCTCACCCACACATTCTTCCCCACTTGTTGGACTCCTACTCATCTCTTAAGATCCAGATCAAATGTCACCTTCCCTGGGAATCCATATCCCAAACTCCCCACGTTGCCACCGGACATTCCTCTGTGTGCACAGTGCCCCACTCTTGTACCCAAGGTTACCTGTCAGTCTCCCCTACTAGACTGTGGGCTCTTGAGGGCAGGGACAGTAGGGAGAGGTTCATACTCTCAGTACCTAGGACAGGGCCAGGTGCAGCAGCAGCCTCTGTAAGAGTTTGCAGGATGAGCCTACCCAGGGAAGAGCTGGGGCTGGGTCAGAGCTCACCTCTGCAAGGGTGGGAGGGGAGAGAGGGCCCCGGCAGGGAGCTGTCCCTAGCAGGGCTAGGCACAGAGCCTGTGGAAACAGCTAACTTAGGAAAAACAAACCTTAGAGCCCACAAGTCAGGACGTAGGAGGCAGCCTGAGCTCTGTGTCATCCTCCACCACACTGATCTCCTAACAGGGCTGGAGTCAGCCAGGGAGGCTCTGCTACCCACTAGCTGTGTGATCCTGTGACGTCGCTTAATCTCTCCATGCCCAGTCCCTCCTCTGTGAGATGGGGTAATCATCCCTCCTAGGTTGGGTTTAGCCTCCTGGAGCACAGAGCCTGGCACACGCTGGGTGCTTGGGAGACAAAGCAGTCACCATGTCTCATGTCAGGCTCCCCAGTCATTCCTTCAGGTCCCCACCACTCACGGTGTCCAGGCGTTCCCAACCTGCATGCACCTCCTCAGATAGCCAGAGCAGGATGGGGCCAGAGGGACCATCTGGTCCAACCTCTTGAAATGCCAGAACAGGAAACACAGGTTCAAGGAAAGGGACCTACTGGCCCATGGCCACACAGCTTGATGGAGGAAGACAAACTGGAAATTTTACTGCCAGCAGTAAGAGGTCAGACAGGAAACAGGAACCTGTTGATAAACTTCCAAGTGACAGAGTGAACCCCAAGGAAGGACACTGGTGATGGCAGAGGCTCAGAAGCCGAGGGGGTGGGG